TGACCCTTACAACCCCAGCAATAGATATAAAATATGCAAGAGACGCACGCTGACCCTTGCAACCTCAGCGATAGGTTAAAAATATCCCACACTTGATTCAACGATTGAATTTATGCATGGGTCTGCTGGTGCTCGACATGATAAAGGACAATGCTAAGCTGAAACACGATTGTCTCACGACCGTGAGACAAGTGTATTCATAATTAATTATCTCGGCATATCTAAGCAACAACATAAGTGTACAAATTGGCTAAACACTAATGAACATCCTTCACATTATCTGCGATAGCTGCCAGATCTATTTATTGACTCTTGCAGCCAGAAGAGGGAATCTCTTCTTTTTTTTAATTGGCAACTGTTCGTTTGATTCATTGGGATTTCTTTGGGGTTTTGTGTGTGCATGAGAGACTTGAGTTAATTACAACTTAAATTGCTGGCAACTGCATTGGTCAATGACCAACAGCCGCTGACCCAATTAGTTGAAGCAGCTCAATGAAAGAGACCAAGGAGCGGCGGCAGAAGCAGCCGAAAAGGGCAACAGGACACAGCAGGATAGCATAACCAAAGCCATCTCTGTACAAGCGGCATTCATTTCAAATTCTGTTTATGGAGTTTCAGTAAAGTGGTTTCACATTTTTCACTACCAAAACTTGCTATACTCTAGCTGAACGTCATTAGCTCAGACTAGCTGAGAACTGAGTAAACTAAAGAAAAGAATAGTCAACAAAAGATTTCGTTTTAATTTATTTACTAATTATTTATTTACTAATGAAGCTAAAGTATCTATCTAGGTATCTATGTATATAATAAATTTTTGAGATATTTCAAACTGAAGTATCTATCTATCTATCTATCTATCTATCTATCTATCTATCTATCTATCTATCAATATCTATCCATCTATCTATCTATCTATCCATCTATCTATCTATATCTATCTATCTATCCATCTATCTATCTATCCATCTATCTATCCATCTATATCTATCTATCCATCTATCGATCTGTCTTTCTATATGTCTATCTATCCATCTATCTATCTATCTATCTATCTTTTTATTTATCTATCTATCCATATATCTATATCTATCTATGTCTATCTATATCTATCTATCTATCTAGTTGACAATAAATTCTCGATATATAAAACCCTGCAGAATATTTAAAGCTTATATCATCATTGATCTTTGGCAGTTTTAGTAGACGTAACAAGCTTCACAATTTAAGCTTTAACTTTGTTGAATCGACTTGTATTTTATAGTATTCTATTTTATAGTTTCCATAGAAATTTAGTTTTCAAAGTCTTTCGCATTCAAGCATAGAACTTTGTAAGTACGAATCATATAGTTTTACGAGTTGAGCACACCGAAGCCACATTTCTGCAAGAGTATATCAGCTTCAGCATTTGTACTTTTCGGTGAGTCCAGCTGTTGCAAGGCAACAACATTTGAGTGTAGCGCATCAAGTTGAAAACAAGGCATTTGGCTTTTCAATTACAAAGACAGTCGCAGCAGCAAACTAAACAGACAACCTAAAAGCATTTTCCAGGAATTGAAAAGCGCAAAACTTGGACAGCGACAACTTTTCTCATATAAATATATATACATCTATATACAAATATATATGTATATAGAGAAATACACGTAATTTGGCACGTTCCAGATTAGCTTATAAATAGGCAATCCGAACAATAGATTCAACGAAATTTGTTTGAGCTTCTCCTCGTCGCTGGCAGCATTCATGCATTTTTCATGCAACGGCCAAGATTCAAGCTAAAATAACTTAACAAAGCTGTAAATATGATGAACCGTTGCCGGGCTGGGCCTCATCATTCTGTGCCCAGTTGCGACTCGAAAGGCGACAAACTTGGCCAAGTTTACGACTGCCCAGCGGCGGGCAGCTCTCTTGGCAGCTCAGCAGCCCAGCAGGGCAGCAAGGCAGCAAGGCAGCAGCGCAGCAGTTGAAAAGCTGAGAATGTGGAGGATGCAACTATAATTGTAACTATACTACCAGTGCCACGCCCACTCTAGTTGATTCGCTTTTTTAAATACTCTTGCAGTGGGCATACGAATTATGTGTCGCAATATGTAAAACATAGATATTATTAGATACACAAGCATTACAATATGGCAAGATATTGAAGTCTATTGCCTTCTCTCTCTCTCTCTCTCTCTCTCTCTCTCTTTCTTGCTAAGATAAGAACATAAATATTTCCCTCTTTCTCACCCTTTATTTTTCTTTCTTCATTCCCTGTCTATGAGATTAGTTCAGCCAACTTGCTACCAATCCCTCTCTCTCTCACGCGCATTATATCTTTCACTACACCTCTCTGGTTCTTCCTCTTTCTCACGTTCCTGCTCGCTCTCATTAAAGTAATTCCTTCCCCTCTATCTCTATATTTCCCAACCTCTCCCTTTCTCACTCTGTTTTTCGCTCTCCTTTATTTTCCCTCTTTGCCATTTTCCCTATCTCTCTCTTGTTAGTGTTCCTCTCGCTTTCTCGTTCTCTCTCTCCCTCTTCTTCGCTGTATCTTTCTTTTCCTCTTTCTTAATACTAGTTTAGCGATCTATCTATCTCTGTATTTTATCTATCTCTCTCTCTCTCTCTATCTATCTATCTCTCCAAATATCTATATATTTATTTCTTTCTCCTCCACTATCTCTAAAACATTTTAGAATAATTTTATATCATATTGATTTCAAATCTCCCCCATATTTAAGCAATTTATCATAAAACTGAGCTGCAAATCATCGAGCAAGTGCGGAGAACCTAGTTTTTGAAGTTAGGTCATGTAAAATAACCCACTTTCAGAATTCCCTTCAGATAATAATAATAATTCCCCCTATATAGCTCATGTGGCAACAATAGGGCATTCAAACTTCGTATTCCCTCGCATGGCTTTTCAATTTTGTTGTTCCCTTAGCATTCCCCCGTCAGGCACTTGGCCTCCATAGGGCAGCTAGCAGCCAGCCTGTGCTGTGGACCAATCGCATCAGCGCCAGCAGTTGCTTTAGTTTAGTTTGATTCAGTTAGTAGTTTGAGAGAGTTAAGTAGTTTTCTAAAGTTTTATGAATTATTAAGAGGATTTTCGAGTTTTCCGCTAGCCTTTCAGTTGCCATCCTCGCACACTCCCAGCCACTCCCGCCGCCCCTCGACGCCCATTCAGTGTCCACTTTTATGCTCGTCAGCAAACGCCTGAAAAGCTGTCGAAATATGCAATTTTCAGTTTGTTTTTTAATTTTTCATGACAAATTCTGGCGCAATGCGAGCTTGTTGTCCTTGTTGTTGTTTGTTATTGTTGTTGTTGTTGTTGTTGTTGTTGTATAGCCGAGCATTAGTTACAGCGTTGACTTGTTGGTAACTGGTTTCACGCCCGCAGCATGGCAAAACGAGCTCTGAGCTCTGAGCTCCCTCTGAGCTGCGAGCAGAGAGCCAACAACACAGCACGAGGCCATCAGATTTTTGGGCCAAAAATTAAATACTTTTTATTGTCAATAAAATTATAAATGCAAATTATAATTTTGTGCTGCCGTTGGCCAATTAGCCAGTGCCAGTGCCAGTGCCAGTGCCCGTACCCCCCCCCCCCCCCCCCCCCCCCCCCCCCTCTCAGACCGAAATGAAACGAAATCAGCCAACCAGGCAACCAGTCAACCAACCGACCGCCCTCAGCCTGCCAGGCCGAGATAATGCGCGCTATTCCCCAAAAACAGCTCGTTGCCCAACACTGGCTGCGTTACTGACGTCAATGTTGTATTAAAAGTTGAACATGTCGCCGCTTTTGGTGTCCCTTTTTCGGTCGTCCGACTGTCGTCAACTGGGCTAACTGCAAAGCAGGTGAGATTGGCCTGGGCTGGGGCTGGGGGTCGGGGTTGGGCCGATGGGAATGCTGGATTTTGGCTAACTACGTGGACGTTGGCATGTTAATTCACTTTGCAAATTGTTGCGTCGTTGTGGCTTTCGCACGGAATGCTAATCATGCCTAGGTGTGCACAAAAACAACAACAACAACAGCAGCAACAACAAACACCTGGCAACTGGCAACAACTTTGTTGATTTGCTAAGTGAAACTTCGATTAGGCGGCGCAGACACACTGAAACGCGCTAACAAACTGTTGAAGAGGACCACAAAATATACAGTTTGAAAATGTGTTGAATAGGGCGTATTGGATATCTAAGGATAAGAACTAGATTACTGTATGCAGTAGTAGTAGTGGTAGTAGTAGTAGCTTAGTAGTTGTTGTAGTTTTAGTAGTAAATATCTGATTGGGCTCTTCGATAATTAAGGTATGCAGTGAGTAGAAATAAGCCATGGATTTTAAGTTAAGGAATATTAATATACTACTTTCATGTAGTAGTAGCAGTTGTCTGATTAGAATCACCGATAATGAGACATGAGGAGGGTAGAACTAAGCAATTAAACATGATTTATTATAAGACTTTAATAAAAAACAATTGAGACATAAACATAAAACTTAGCTATACTATTCTAATATTCAAAAGGTCCTCAATTCGAACTACATATTCTAGAAATCTTAGAGGTCTTAAAGCCATTGGCCTACAGTTTTAGAATGACTCCAAAATTTACACAAAATCTTTACAATTATGCTCAACTTTCATTCAGCAGGGTATATTACAGTCAGGCATGCTCGTTGACGATATTCCTACTTGTTAGCTTTAATTTTTTCGGGCCGGATTTCGCATCGGCTCAAGCTGCGGCCTGTGCGGCTGTAAAGCGAGTCGGGTCCGCCGCATAAACTTGCGCCACGTGAAATTTGTTATGCTCTATTTCGTTGCAAAGCAATTACCGACCCACACATACTGCTGTCTAAACAAAAAAAATACACATACACACACAGACACATGCCACATGTATGTGCCTGTGTATATGAATTCAACTCTATGAGTTTATTTTCATGTGTGTGTGTGTGTATGTAAAGTTTTACAGCTTACAGCGGCAGCGGAAGCGGCTGTGAAAATTAAATTGGTATAAATATATTTACCTTTGCCTTTACCTGTAGCACAGTGAAACCAAAGTAATCAGACACGAGTGTAAGCTGTAAAGAAAAAAAAAACAGAAGACAGAGAGTGAGTAAAGTGAAAGAGAAAGTCAAAGCTGGTGAATATTTAAAACAAGTCTAGATTTTCTTTTCTTTTATGGGATGTGAGCAGCGAGAGAGTAAATGAACGAATGTATTAGATAGACCGACAGAGGTATAGTAAGAGGTAAATAGTAAGAGATAGGTATGGAAAGATATAAGGCCTATGAAAGTGTATGTATGTGAAATTGTGACAGAGGGAGAGAGCGATAGATAGAGTAAGATATAACAGAGAAACTATAATAGAGCCACAAGTAGGGTAATGAAAATAAAGAGATGAAAAGGGATACTAGAGCCAGAGAAAGAAAGAGGGATAGAAAGAGAGACAGAGAGAGAGAGAGAGATACCCAGAGAGAGACACAGAGACAGAAACAAAATTAGGCAGAGAGAGATAAAACGTGAGGACAGAGGGTGAGAGAGAGAGAGATACAGAGACAGCTACGAAGAGAGGAATGACAGAGTATGTATGATAGAAAAGAAAATTGAGAGTAGAAGGAGAAATGGAGAGAAAAAGAGAATTTCAGAGTAATATAATCGGATAGATGTACATATATAAAAACTTAGAGACACAGTAATAGGAAATACTGAAACAGACCGAGTGATATGCAGATAGTAAAAGCTAACAAAAGTCAGCGAGAGAGATGGTAACAAAAACAGAGACAGACAGAGACAAATATATTCGCTGCTGGCTTGCTAGCTTTGTTGCAATTAGTATGCTAGGCTTTTGTTCATAAAACAGAAGTTCTGGCTGCTAGCTTTGAAATTTAGCTCGCTGGCTTAACCTGACTTACTTAAAACAAAAAAAAATAACGTATTCAGCAGTTAAAGCAGTTAAGTCGTTTAGTTTTCGGGCGCTTAGCTGTGCAAGTTCTTACACACGAACTAAATTATTTGTCTGCCAACTTTTCGGGGCAATGCGAGTGAGTATTTATAGCCGAACTAGCTCTGCGAAATGGGCCTAGTCTGGTGGGGACTAGTTATATATTTATTTGTCTGTTGCTTATTATAAATATAAACTTGGCACATAATTAGCAAGTTGGCCAATATACATACATACATATATAATTCATATAATGACTACTTTGGACTTTGTTAAATGATGTCAATTAATGTGGAATGCCGTCTACTTGCGCTGTGAAAGCGAGAGCTTTAATAATTTTTTCCTTTCATGAGCGTCGCACACAAAAAGCTGACATAAAAGTTAAATTGTAAAAATAATTAATTAAACTTAAACTTGGGGCAAGAATTTCAAATTGGCTACAAAAAAAAGTTGAAGTCGAGTCGAGCCTTTTTATGTAGAGTTTCGGCAGCAAACTGGATGCGGCACGTGGCAGCCGCTGCCAAAAGATACAAAAAGTGAAAAGCAAACGCAAAAAAAAACGTAAAAATAAAATGAAGAAATCGACGGAAAATGGGAAAATTTTGCAGGTTTTGCATTTGTTGCATTACGAGCACTATACAAATAATCGATAGCTTTTACGCAACTCCCCCGAACAGCGTGGCACGATAATGGAAGGGAATGTACCCCCCACATTGATTGGGGCACACACATACACACTGTATCTGTATGTGTGTGTGTGTGTGTGCGTGGCAAAATTTGTGCAGACAAAATTTATAAGCGCATTACAAGAGCTCGTGTAGTTTTTGTGATTTGTTGCGAGGTCTTTGGTCGCCGGACTGTTAAATGGGGTCGATGATGGTGGCTAACGGCATATACAAAGTGCTTACAAAGCGTTTGGGCGATTAATCAGTTCAGCAGCAAGAGCAGCACCCAAACAGCAACAGCCATAATGCACTGATGGAAGCCAGCGACTATATACATACATATATACATATACAAATATATGCACTGGAAAAAATAACACAATCCTTTAGTATAATTCAATTATGAATATTTTTCAAATTGCGGTTGCAGCTTAAAACTCTTTAAGCCGCCCAACAAATCTCTTATATGTTTTATTACGAGCAAATATGGCATAACTGTACAAGATACTAAGCAGCTTTTAATATAGCAATCAGGCGGGTAAGCCGCTTTTAAGCCAAACCAACTCAAGATCGTAATTGCATTTAATTTGGAACAAAAATCGTAACACATTTCGAATCCACAATGCAAGAATGCATGTGAAAATATGTGCTGAGACCAAGATGAAAATCTCCGAAAATAAAATACCAAAATAGCAAAAAGCTTAGGCTTAGATTTATCGCAGAACTATGTACATATGTACGTAGATTAGCAATAGAAAACAGTAGTAAGCCGATTTAAACAAAAATGAGTTGAGTATTTGACTAGAACATTATTAGATTTATGATATGTTTGATTTAAAAATACTTTTTAGTTTGTTTAGGTTATAATTTATTATATCATTGATTTTTTTTTAATTTTTTTTTTTTTTTTAAATTAATTATTAAATATTCATCTTATATATGTTTTATTGATTATTTGATTAAGATTAATTGTAATTAATTTTTGTTATATATTTTTTAAATTTTATTTGAAATTATTTTTAACAAATCTAATTTATTTTTTATTTATTTATATATTAGTTTGTTAAATACTAAAACTATTATTTGGGATTGTAACATCAATCATATGGCGGCTTTAGTTTCTCGTTGAAATTAAAACAAAACTAAAATTTATGCCATATGAAAATAAAAATAAAATAATAATTAATTTTAAAAACAATTTTTTTTTTTTTATTTTATTTAATGTCAGCCTTTCAATTTTTTTTTTTTATATTTTACTTATTTAATTTTTAACTTATTTTGTTTCATTTATGAATGAATATTTTTTATAATATTGATGTACATAAGTATATATTATTTTCAGTACAAGTAAAGCATATTTCAAAATTTTTAAGTAAAATGCAGATCTAAACAAATTTATGTTCAGATGATGTTTCTTATTATTCTATACAGTGCTGCATATTATCGATAACTACAAAAGCTGATGAATTGGAGTTATCGAAAGTAATAAATATTTGGCTGATTTAAATATACATATATATAGTTTTTATATCGAAGTCTAACTTTTTGGCCAGTGTATGCACATATACATACATACATATATATATATTTAAATATATTTATTTGTTGGCATGTGATTGAAGTCCTTGAGGCAGCGGCACGAAGGAGCTGCTCGCAGTGGCAGTTCGCGCGAACTACCAAACAGCACAGCAGCAGCAGCAGCAGCAAAAGTCGTTTTGGTGGCTAATTAAGTCAATTATGCACTTAAGGCTTCAAGTGGCGTGCAGCCGCGGCAGCAGAAGTTGCACCAGCAGCTGCTGCTGCAGCCACGCCCCAAACGTTGGCTGCCTTTCAGTCAAACATCAAAGCTAGTCACGCTCGCAGGCTAGCCTTCTCTCACTCACTCTGGCTCACCCTCTCTCACTCACTCACTCACTCACTCTCAGTCGGTCTTGTGCCTGCTGACGGCCGCTTCTGGTTTTTTAATAATAAAATGGCTTGGTACAGGAAATAACTCATACGCGCCGTATGCCGCACTCGCCATACATCAGCGACAGTTGCTGTTGCCGCCGTTGCTGCTGCTGCTGCTGTTATTGTTGTTGTTGTTCTTGTTGCTGTTGCTGTCGCTGGCATTGTTGTTGGCGTAAAGACGTGTTACTTACTTACAACAGTCTTATATATTACATTGCCCACACACTCATATATATCGACATGCATATATAAGTTGCTATATAATATCTATATGCCTTGCTGTTTGACTGTACATATTATTGTTGTCTGGGTGTGTGGGTGTGCGTGTGTGTGTGTGTGTGTGTGTGTGTGTCAGACACAAGAAACGATTTATCTCAATTTACATACTAAATGACAGGCAGAGGCAGGCTTTTGGAATGCGCCTTTGCTTCTTGCGGGGAGCGAGGGGATAGGATTGGGCGACGTTGCCACAGTGGATACAATACACATGGTTGTTGTAGCTGCTTATCCTGCAGTGTAATTTCGTCCTTCAGCCAAACAGCGTGCATCGACGCTTATTAAATGAGGCCCAAGTATTGATTTCAATTTTAAAGTAAATAAGATTCATTAAACCCATTTCTCGTGCCACATTACGGCGAAAATCTGTTAATTACAATCTTATGATTTAATCATCATTGTAATACGCATTGCAAACGGATGAGTTCCTCTCACAAGGATCTCAATGAATTAACACTTTGGTATTCAAATTGAAATTATGACAGCAGAAATGTTAATGGATACGATACAAGCCAATGGATGTATATATACATATGTATATATGTGTGTGGTTTAACGTAAAGTAAAACTGTTATACAAAAGCGTTGTGTAATTCTCTTTTAACATCATGATAGAGGCTATTGTGTAATTTATTCATATTGTAATCTTATCTGTGATGCAACAATGCGGTAAACTGCTGCGTGAAAAAACTGTTATACAAAATCGTTTTTATGTGATTCTCTTATATGCTTCTTTTATAGAATCATGATATAAGTTAATGGTGTAGCTATTCATATAGTCATTTCTGACAAAAAAAAACTGTTATACAACATTGCGGTAAATTATTTCGATTAAGCACTTCGTTATGCACATAACTGTTATACAAAAGAGTTCTTATATGATTCTCTTATGGAATCAGCTAATGGTCTAGTCATGTCTGATAAACAACTGTTATACAACACTATACACACAGATTTCTCTAAACACAACAGTCAAGGAAAAACGACCATATTTAACTGTTATACTTAACTGTGATACACAGCTGATATGCGCATCTGTTATACACAACTGTACTACATCTAACTACTAGCAGTCAGATCATTATATAGAACTCTTCTAAAAATCTATTATACAAAGCTGCTATACATAGCTTATATACAGAATTGTTATACAGAACACTTTAAAAAAACTGTTATACAGGATTAAATCTAGAAATAAACAGAAATGTTTCCCAGAACTCTTACCCCACTGTTATTTTAATTCAATAGAACT